AAAACAATCACCCTGTTAAAAAAAAACAAATAACAGAAAATTCACCAACTTCTCTTGCTTCCACAGCTACACCATCAACACTGATATTCTTGGCTCCTCCCTCATGCTCAGTCTGTTTTTAGCCAGAAAGCATAAGGAGCTTGTTAAGATCTGAGTTAGATCACCTCTCTTCTCTGCTTCAAATATCTATGGGTTTCACCACTCAGGACAGAGGCCCTGCTCCTCAGCCAGTCATTACTGCCTGACTCCTGCTCCTGTTCTCTGTTCCTAACACACACAAGGACCTGAGGTTCCTTGACACTCCGAACTTAATCTCACCTATTTGCCCACATCTACTCCTGGACCTCTTAATATACCCTTCCAATCTTCATCCCATTGGTTTCTGTAAGTTAGAACTTCTCCATGTAACTCCATGTAATGCCTGGCCTCGTTTCAGGATGTTTAGCTAGAAATAACACCCTTTCAGGACCCCCAAAACTCAAGAGCAGAGAAAGAGACAGGAGAAGAGTCTCAGCATATCACTATGTCTCATCAGAAAATCTATCCAGGTTTACTTTTAAAGCATACACAAAACCCACATATTCTTTTATTTTTTATTTTTATTTATCTCACTATGTTGCCCTGGGTAGAGTGCTGTAGTATTACAGCTCACAGCAACCTCTAACTTTTGGGCTTAAGCGATTCTCTTGCGAATTTGTGCTATAAAATTTGGGTTTAGTCAAAAGGCTTTACACAAGGATCCAGAGAGCCTCATGTGGCCCCAATACTGCAGGTTCCCCACCCCAGTCTGGTCCCTTCCCTCCCCACCTTCCTAACTCATAGGAGAGACCAGAAGTGGTCCTGGAAGCACTAGTGCCTGCTCTCTCTTCCCTCTGACCACTGTGTCCAGCCCAGAGAAGAAACAGACAAGTGTGCAGACAGACAGATGCTGTCAAACTCTGGGTCTATCATGAAGGACCCCCAAGTTCTCTCCTTCAAACCAGTTTTCCTGGCATTTGTTGTCCGAACCATCACTCCCAGACACAACCAAACTTCACCTCTGCCTTATTCCATAAGCTGCACATACTAGGGCATCACTCTTTGGACCATAGCTTCCTCACATCTGGAACAAGCTCCAGCCACACCATATGCATCTCCATGGCATCCCGCAGACAGCATGCTACTTTATACACCATGTCCAGGAAGTGTTCATCTGTGCTTAT